GCAAGGCCAGGCTGGAGGAGGCTTTGGGCAACCTGGGCTAGGGGGAGGTGTCCCTGCCCATGGCAGGGGGGTTGGAAGTACATGGCCTGTAAAGGTCATCCAACCCAAACAATTCTATGATTCTAGAGGTACTACATGCATCTGGAGGTACTACATGCTAACATGTCTCACATTCAAAATTAACTGTCTAGCTGCAACATGCTCATGCCCTGGCAGTGGAAGAGGCTGGGTGCAGGGGCAGGAGAAGAACTGTCATGAAAAACTATGTGAAATTCAGCCAGAGAGAGGGACAGGAGAAAGCAGGTTAACCAGATGGAAGAGGACACATCGCAGGAGTCGAGATGTGAGGGGACAGAAAGGAGATACTCATCAGAAAAACAAGGAAGGTGGACAAAGAGGATGATCCTCTTAATGGTGAGCAAGCTGCTAAATGGGTGGCTAATCAGAGGACCTGGAGAAAGGGATGGAAGAAAGGCAGAGTGGGCAACTGCAGGCAAAACCATACAGGTGAAGATCTGAGAGCAGCCTGCTGCCCAGGGCTCTCCTAAAGGACGTTGGAGGCAGACAGAGGAACAGGGCACAAAGAGGTGGATGGAGCAAGGCTCCATGGCCAGGCTCCCGTGGGGAAGGCTCACCCTCAGCGTGCTTCTTCTTGGTGTGGTAGGCAAGAGCTGAGGCCTGCATGAAGGTCATCAGGCAGTGCTTGCACATGAAGGGCCGGTCCCCCGTGTGCAGCCGTAGGTGGTTCTTCAGCGTGGAGTTGGCTGCAAACTTGGCCCCGCACTCCTCGCAGGAGAAGGGCTTCTCATCAAAATGCTCCGTCAGCTTGTGGTACTGCATCCCTGGGGAGGCAGACAGGACACTGAGGTGGCACTGGTGGGACCCAGTGTCAGCCCTGCCCAACCCTGCTGCCTCCACCCAGCCCAGAGGTCCACCAGCCCACCCACAAGCCCAGGGGTCCATCGGGGTCCACCGGTGTCCTCCAGCCTGGAGGCCCACCTGGGTATCATGAGCTGTCATGGGGAGGGCAGAGAGACTCAAATCCTCTTACTCGTCCTGCTAAACCAGCCACAGAACTGTAACAGCTTGATTTTTTTTTTTTTTTGGAGGCTTTTAAATTTGCCAGCAGCCCCACTCTTCCTTGATGAGCCATGTGGAAAACCAATTAGAGAAGAACTAATCAGAAAGCGGTTGTGCTCAGTGGGGCAGGAGAAATGAGCTGAGCTGTGTTTCTCACACACAACGCTCACAGAGCGGCAGGGAGAAGGAGAAGATTTCAGACTACTGCTTTATTATATTGTCCAGACTTCTGTCCAAACACCCCTGCTCCCACCAACCCTACCTGAGGCATGAGCAAACTCTCGCCCACAGATGTCACATGCCACGGGAAGCCTCTTCTTCTTCTTCTTGGCTGTCCCCACCACCCCGTGGACTTCCAGCTGATGCTTCTCCAGCTCCTTCTTTGTCGATTTGACCTCGCTGCACTCCTTACACTGGATTTGCTTTCCTCTGGCCACCCGACAACGTTTCATGTGCACCTTCAGGCGGCAGTAGAAGTGGAAGGTCTTGTCACAGGCTTTGCAGATAAAACTCTTCTTGGAAGAAGCTTTTTCTTGGGGTTCCTTCAGTTCCTTGGCACCGGCACCTCCTGCCTTGTCCTCATCTTTGTCCAGAGCTTCAACTTGGGATTCACTGTTCACCTTCCACTTCCTGATCCCAGGTTTCTCCCCGCTTCCCTCAGTCAAGAGACCTGTGGAAACAGCAAATCCTGTTTTGGTGGTGACCAGCAGGACTGGGCACCAGACCCTCGGTCTGCCATCTCCTGAATGCTCCTACACAGACAGATGTCCCTGCACAGCAAGGGCAGACACACATAGACACGCTGTCCCATCACAACGGTGGCACACGGCTCTGCCCAGAAGTGGCAGTGGCCATGCATGGTACAATGCATTAAAGAGAGGTCCTCAAGTTTCTCCACCCACACATACCAGAGGCTGGATTAAATTGAAAGACACAGAGCCAGATTTTCCAAAGAACTTCCTCCTCAAACAGGAACAACTGTTGCTTGCAAGCATCTGCCTCCTGCTCAGACACATGAAGTTACAGCCATGCTTAAATGTTTGAAGATCTGAGGCTCAGGTATGATATTAAGTCTGCCATGGAGAGTGGATACCCAGCCATTAACTACAAGAAATCTCAGCACTACCCAAACGCACTCTTTGAAAGTGGACACAATCTTGCTACAACCCTTTTGAGTCTTCTGACTAGCTCCTTGAGGTATTACAATTTGCTCATGACATTCACTTCTTAAAAAGTCTAATGCTTTTCTGAGTCCTTGTAACACCATCATCTCAAAAAGCACAAGCTGGAAAATTCACCCAGGATCAATCTACAGAAAAGACCCACAGGGAACGCATGTATGGAAGAAATCAAAATACAAACAGATATATTTGACTTCTTTGCTATAATGAGAACCATGCGACTCTGTGGCCATGGAAACCAGTGCAGACTTCTCCTTTTGCCAGTACACAGGAAATTCAGCCTGTGCTCACAAAACTTCATTTCTGCCTTCCTCGCTATGGGAAGAGCTCAGCAAAGTGTCCTCCCTGTACAGTGATACTGCCCTGGTTTTCCAACCAACAAGAAACCAGGTGACACACTCCCAACAGATTTGGAAATCTTAAGACATCAAGTGGTGACCCACTGACCCCTTAATAACATCAAGGGAGAAAAACAGACTGGAAGACTGGCTTACAGTTTGTCCTGCTCTGTCAAGATAGCAATACACACCTTTCACCTCTAAGGTCTCTTCCCCCATCCTTAAAACCAACACGATCAGTTTTTCTGACCCAGGTGAAGAAGTATCTTTAAACTTCCCAGAAATGTCGAACATCAAAAAGAGTCATCTTGCTGGGCAGGATGAATGCAGATGAAGATAAAAGCACTAAGGAAACCAGGGCTGGAAATGTGTAGAAGAAGAGCCATGGCAGCAGGGGTGTAACCTGAGTCAGATGAAGTGAAAAGGAGTTTTGCCACAGATGCCAGCGCACCAAGAGCTGGCTCATGGTCCTCTTGCTCTTATGCCTGTGAAAATGTTGTTCAAGATTTACGAGCCTTTAGCCTAGGCAACAGCACAAGACTGTAACAGTATAAAACCAGGAGAAGCTCTTAACTTCTGTTCACCTTCATGGAGAAACACATAAAGGGTCCCCAGGAACAGCGCTCTGTCTTCACAGGGATGCTGCTACTCCTGGGCAACAGTTCTGGAAGAAAATTGAAGATGAGCACGTGAAATCAACGGGTAGGTACCTGCACCCTGCATTCCTGTGCCAGTGCAATACATACACGTTGGACGGCCGGAGGAATCTTGCCTGATGGTGGAATACATCCTCCAAAGGGATTCAAAGCCTGCCTACCATGAGATGGGAATGGGAGACATGCTAAACTGCACGACACAGCGCTGATGGGACAGTAAGGCCAGGTGTCAAGTTGATGAGCATACAGGTTTCTTTAACAGCATCAAGTACCATGGGCTGGCTGCTGCCTGAACAGAAGAGGGGACACATGGCACAACTACATCGGGGCAGCAATTCCTTTCCACTTGGCAGCCAGGATCTCTCCCAGAACCCCTCCTACAGTGAGGACAACATTTCATACCTCGTTAGAGCAGCATCGAGCAACAGACCCAGTCAACTTCCATCCTGGAGGTGCAGGAAGCTTGGAGGTGAACCCGAGTGCTCTTGTGAGAAAGAAGACCAGACTGAAGAATTGACTGCACATCAAGTTTGAGAGGCAGGAACTTGCCATGGCCATGTCCCTGGCTGAGCCTGCTGGGACCAGGCAGAGCCCAAGGGTTAGTACACATCAGAAAGGTTCCAGGCAGGAATTCCTGACTGCAGGGTCCTCCGGGACTCTGGACTTTGTGTCACTTTCCGTTCTCTGGAAGCAAAGCCATTCAGCACTGGAAGAAAAACCCTGCTGTTTATCACGCCGTATTTCATACTGAGTTCTCTTTCTCTTTTGTAAGTGGTCTGCTGAGTCTGTAACCCTGGTGGCTGCTGTCCCCTCCCTGCAGCTCATGATAGATGTTGGACTCCAGAAGCAGAAGATCTCTCGGTGTGTGACCATCCCGTCTCCCACTTCTTCAGCTTAAGCTGGAAGAAAATTCCACCTACCCCTCTGCATCTCAAAGGTCATTCCCATGGTTGCTGACATGCACGGTGGCTTCTAACGTAGAATCTTCACAGGGAAGATTTCACACTTTGCTTGCAGACCCGACAGTTTAACCAGAATCTTCACAGGGAAGAACAACACTTTGCTTGCAGACCCGACAGTTTAACAATTCCAGAGGCTGACTCAGGCCTAACTTAGATGCTAACTGTCTTTTTTAAACACAAGACCTCTTTGCTGGAGTTCCTGACACATTTCTGAGATCGGAAAGTGAGGCATATCTTGACAAACACTATCTCCCAAGAAGTGACTGTACAGAGACTGGGAAAGCAGCTGGGTAAAAAGGAGGTTATGGAGTTGGCTGGAAGAGGCAAACCTCGTCCTTTTAAGTACCAGCTGCCAACAGCGAAAGTGCTCCAACTACAGGCGGGACCCAAGGAGAAGCCAACAGATTTCATATTGTACCTCCACCAAAGAAACCAACCCACGACTTTGATGATGCTGAGTGTGGCTGGGGATGGATGCAGACAGTTTACTCCACAGGGATGCCTGGTGCTTTCCAAGTGCTTCCACTCACCTAAATTAAGTATCAGATTTTTTTTTTTTTGCAGTACATCTGCTTTCAAGTGGAAACGCAAACTGTATGCATCTCCATGTGGCACATATGTTCTTCAGAAATGTAAGATCTCCTCTGGTTTAAGTGGAAGCTCACATCCCTCAAACACGGGGCTCACAGTTATCATTCATATCTCACTCCAAGAGCCACATGGCTATCGATCCATAAAGCCACCTGCAACATTTAGGGCTGGTAAGCAGTGATATCAGAGCTGAGGGGACTGGCCTAGAAAGTAAGATACGTAAGTTCAGTGTAAAGATCTGTAGGATGCCAAAAAGGGGCTGGTAACTGACAATCCTCCTCTGGACACTTCACACAGAATAAATTATTTTGCCAAGTAAATACCATTTTTCCAGGGCTCTTGTTTTTGATGTTGCTTCTTGCTTGATTTTGTCTCAACCTTGGCTTGAAGCCCTGCACAGACACTTAGCGACAGCAGTCTGCTCTCTTTGATATTGGTGCCAGAGACACAGGCATCTGCCAGAGCAATCGAGCCGACTCCCCAGGTCCCTCACTGGTAGCACTGCAAGGTGTTCAGGTGGGCTGCAGTCACTGGCATGTGCAATTTTTGTTGGCTTACCTCCTCTAGAGTCACCAAGGCATCAGCCCTGGCACGTCCATGGTCAGACGGGGTCAAGAGGAATGCAGCAAGTGCCTGCAGCATCAGGAGACACAGAAGGAATGGCAGATAAGAAGGAAATACCTTTTCTCTGGAGATCCTCATCAGAGCCACAACCAGGTGAAAAAGCCAACTGGATCGGTGGCAGCTCTGGGTGGTTAGAAGAGAGGACCTAGACCTGAACTGGGCACGAACAGTAGATCTACAGTGTAGGACATCTCTCAGAGAGGTCACTAAGGCCACTGAGACAAAGGAGAGCACAGCATGTGCCATCACCCTCTGAGCCCTACGGCTACAGCAGCAAGCCAGATCCTTGGTTTCTTCTACACACACACTGCTCCGAGTCACCCAGTGCCATCTACCACCCCAACAACATTTCCTCATTGCTCAAGAACGCAGGCAAGTTAACGAACAGCAGCTCGCTCTCTGCCCCTTTCCAGCACGCGGGGAACACTGGCTTCGCCTGTCACTGTCAAACACAAACCGATGGCGAAGGTCAAAGCCACAAGGGTTGTGTTCATTCCTGAAGACCAATCATGGTGCTGGCCCAAATTTTCGGAGAAACCTTCTACCCCTAAAAAAAGACAAGACATTAATAACAAGCTTCTTACTCTAACTACCCAGCAATCTGCTAGTTTATGCACACTGTGCCATACGCTAACCAGCTCTGGACCATGAGTAAATAGGAACAGACAAGGCTGAACCAGTGCCTGTGCTTGGATTGAAAAAAAAAAAAAAGAAAAACCGAAAAAAACCCCACACTGTGTACATCCCAGTGGACTCCGCAGCCCAAAGATGGATGCACTGGGAAGCACAATGCCATAAAAAGGTATGCGAGCAAACAGACTAAGCAAGTCACATTTTAATCATTTTCAAGAGAATGCAAACCTGCAGTTAGCTTCCTGGCCGTCTGTTCTCTTTTTCATTAAAGCACCAAATTCTGTTAAGCATTCTTCCTTCAAATGACAGATGCAGAGATAGAATTTGGCTCAGCTGGAAAGCATCCCACAGCTCAGGGCAGGGTCTCACACATGGTTATTGCTATGCATTTGTTTCTGGAGTTCACCAAATTGCTATCTGCATATGTTTCATTCATACCTTTGCCAAACTAGTACAGTATATAACATCCCCCTGCTGCTGTGGGACCCTACCCAAGGGATCATCTGCTCTATAAAGTGTATAAATGGCAAGACCAAATTAAAGTACAATGAAATAAACTCAGAAAGTAGCCTGGGACTACAAAATGCACCATCACGGTCATCTCTGCACAAGACAAGTGCGCTGGGATGTGACCTTTCCACAATCAGCCTGTGAAGTATCCACAGATAAAGTCAAGGGACTGTGATACAAGTCCAAATTCATACAGATCCAGGAGTATAGGAAAAGCTGAGAAACCCCGCTGGCTAAGGATAAAAATTCAGAAAAATAACCCAATATAGATACAAATTACATAACTAAGTTGCTTAAATGCAAAGGTGCAAGGGCTGGGGTGGAGAAATGCCAACGCAGTTAAGGAATGGGGACAGTTACGGTCTCCACAATCCTCGTAATGTACAAAACTTCAATCTGGTGCATTTTACCTGCAGGAGAAATGCACACTCCAGCACTTGAATCCAGAGGTCACCTCTGCAAATCCTCCTGCATGTATAACCCCAACATTTGGCCAGGATAATGGTTCTGTGAAATGACCTCAGGCCACCAGGACACTGAGGTCCACCACCAGACTGCCCAAGACTCCCATAACTGTCTGTAAAAGATCACACAGGGATGAAAACCTGTGCTTTTCTTACCCACATGCCCCAGCTCCTGCATCACTGGCTGCAGGTCCGGGAAGGATTCATGGACATTGCACAGGAGCTGACAGATCTTGATGGCCGGGACAGACTTCTCCTGAGCCCTGCTCAGAGCTGCTTTCAAGGAGGCCTCTGAACTTTCCTTCTGAGAAGAAATACTCAGTAGCTGGAGAAGTAAGAAGAATGACAGAGATTTGGGGCTGTGAAAGGTCAGGATGGTCTGGGATTGAGGGCACAGCCTCTTTGTTTCATCTCTACTGCTAGGAACCTGCTTTGAGAAACCAGAAAAGAAACAAATCCCTTTCCCAGTCTTTGCCCCTCCACTGATGTATGTGCATGAGCCGAGAGAATTTCAGGATTCAAAAAAAGTTACAACGAATTAAATTCTCAGACTTTCTATTTTGGTATTAGCTCATTTAAAACCACCTCTCCATGGAAAGAGCGGCTCCTCAACGCCTTACGGCATTACAAGCTTACCTAACTCCTAAACCTGTGTTTCCCACTGGGCTTTTCTCTCCCTTCCAAATCCAAACCAGCTTCAGCCAGCCACTGCAAGGAGAACCAAGGCGAGGATCTGTGCATGCCTGTACGCACCTCACCCTTCCAGATCCCCAGCAGCAGCTAACCAGAGCAGGAACGAGCAACCAAGACTGCTTGGTGGAAAAGGCCGACTTGTTACTAACACAGCCCCTCTCCTTGTCACAGGGAAAACAGGCAAGGCACTCTGGGACACTACAAAGTCACAGCCTCCTCACTGAATTTTCCAGGAGTGTTTCATTCTCATATATCCTGGAACAGCCAGCTCAAATGGAAACCCACTCCCTGGCAGCTCTGCTTTCTCTAGGACTTCAGCACCCTTCCAGAGCCAAAACAGTTTTGCTGTGTTTGAATACCCACGTTTTCATCAACTGAGAATCTCACTGGCAATTTCTTTTACCTAAAAATCCTTGCAGAATTTATACAAAACACCAAACACTCTCACTTCAGCAGAGGGGCACCTCCAACTTTGAATGGCTTCACCAATCTAAGTAATGTCCCTTGACTTCAGTGCACACTAGGGTCTGTCCACCCACGGCTCAAAAGCCCCGAACCACGCTGGCTCTGAAAGCATCCCCTCGTACCTCTTTTACTGCTTCTGTGAGTCCTGCCTCGCCCGGAGCCAAGCCCTCCAGGTCCACTCTCTGCTGGATGGCCTCCGAGATCAGCTTGCTGTGCCGCAGGATGATCTCAATGGCTGTGCTCTCGTTGGTGGCCACTGAAGATGAAAATAAAAAGTAAAGGTATTTAAAAACACAAAACCCAAGGAGAACCTGAAGGCTTTAGCTCTGCCTAGCTTTGTCCAGCCCACTTCTGAAGCTGAGCTGTTAACAGCAGGAGTGACTTCTTTAGGGTGTAGGAAACAGGGAACAGCTACAGGCAAGTTTTGTTTATACTAATTGCAGCACTGACATCCAGCATAAAACCCTAGCAGACCTCCCTTCCCACTGCTCGCCCAGCTCCAGATGAGAAGATCAGGTTTTCCAAAGTATGTTGCTGAAAGAGACACTGACAGCCTCAAGAGGCAGGCATGGTTCTCCCAAGCCTCAGGATTTCTTCTCTGCCCAGCTGCAGACATCCTATTCTGACTTTTGCAGAGAAACAGGCACTTCTAGGCACAATTTGCCTCATTCAAGGACAACCACATAAAAAGCACCATGTGTCACAAGTGCTGGTTTGTCTGGGCTGAGCACAGAGAGGCTGGAGGAGTTCGGATGGAGGCAGGTACCCCATGGACTCCTGACTGCAGGCAGGCGAACCCCAGGGTTGTGTCCCCAGGGCCAGCACACCGCCAGGCTCTGCACAGCCAACCTCTCCTGCCCCACAAGACCACCAACCTGAGCGCTCCTCAGGCTTGCATGAGATTTTAGCCATGATTTGGGGGGAAAAGCAGAGTTTCAGTTTTAAAGTAGGAAAACTCAACGCCAAAGGCTGAGGCTCTGGGGAGGACAGGGTGGTGGCTGCACACAGACCTCCGACAAAACCCACGCTTTCAATCTGATGGGCCTCCAGCTGGTTATTCACGCAGGGTGGTGGCCAGCTCTCAAAAGGTTTGCTCTTTACAAAACCTGAAGGCACGGAGCCACAAGCAAGGCAGCTGCGCTTGCAGACGAAAGTGCTTTTTCAATCGACCGACTGCTTCACCGAGGACACAGGTGCTGAGACCCATTGGAAGAGAAGAGGTTCCAGCCAAGGAGAGGGAAAGGAGTTAGAAAGCAGTTCCTGCCAGCAGCAGGAGAAGCTCAGGAGAGCGTAGGGGGACACCAAGGCCGTTACCTGCTTGGAAGAACAACTCCGCGCCGGGTTGTTTCTGGATCTCCTCCATAAGCAGGTTCACTGGTGCCAGTTCCCGCACAGCCAGCAGCAGCTGCCAAAGGGCAGAGACGGACACAGACCGCTCCTCCAGCGCCGCCGACACCAGGGAGGTGAAACCACCAGCCTCACGCTTCACAACCTGCTCCATCACCTTGGAAAGACCCACGGCGAGGTGCTCACAAGCAACTCCCTCCATCTGTCCCCATCACACCTAGCCATGACCGCGGCTCACCCCAGACCCAGCCTTCCCTTGCTCCCACCCTGCTGGAGACTTGGCTCATGGTGCAGCCCAAGCGGTGACTGCTTTGAAGCCCAGCCTTTCACCCAAACACATCAGCCATTTCCTCAAGTCACTCTGAAGCTGAACATCTCAGCCCCCAAATCAACCATTTTTACTTGCCAATTTTCAGGTTCATGTGTGTTACCTGCTTCACTGCTGCTATGGGATACTAAGGAACCATTAAACCAAGTCCTGCTGGAGGACTGCCCCAAACCAAGCCAGGTTTGGGAGTGGACAGGGAGTAAATCAAGTCCTCGGGACTTGACAGGGATCTCAGATGAGGATAAAAGCTCAGTATCTGCTTGCACACACACAGGATTCTGCTTACCTCTCTCTCAGCAGGAGCCAGGCTCTGTGCAGCAGAGATGCCCCGCAGCAGCACCTGGGGGTCTGTGAGGAGCTCCTCTAAGTTCTCTCTGTATCGTTGCAACAGTTTGGCTCCATAATCCTCCGGGTTCCATTTGGCTGAATGTAAGAGAATGAAAATAAGAACAGGTCAGCGCGCAGCATCTTCCCAAAGGGCTTCAGAGCTAAGGGAGACCAAAAAGCCAAGGCAGCCAGTTCTCCCTGGGCCACTAACGCTTGTGGCCTTACGCTCAGTACACCTGGATTCACCTTCAGGCAGAGGATGAACATGACAAATCAAAAATTCTCCAAATCAAAGACAACACAGAATATCCTCTGCCCATACGTGCCTACAGAGATAGATCTCCAGCATCCAAGTGTCTTCCCAGTCTCAGTCCTGGTCTGAGCCTGGAAGAAGTAAGTCTCAGGTTTCAGCCACGTTCAAGTGGCTGTGTCTGTGAAGACAACACCTCGAGATGTTCAGCAGCCTCTTCTGATGCCCTGGAATCAAGGAGACCCCACTACTGGCTCTTATTGTAGTTTCATTGAATGAGGTCTGTAAGCGAGAGTCTTTGATCCACTCCACCAAGGAGCTCTGCAACATGCTCCATCTCAGCAGCGTACAACCATCAAACTTACTAACATTTTACAAACCCTCAGATGGTCCAAGGTAATCAAGAACTTAGCAGGCTGAGTGAAAATGTTAAGGGAAGACAAATCAGCCTTGTTATCGCAAAGTGGCAGTAACACCCTCTTCCCTCTCTTACACCAAAAAAAAAAAAAAAAAAAAAAATCAACTTTAACCTCATTCCTTCCTTCTCCCATATGTAACTCCAAGCTGGGTCTGCTGAGGTTTGCCCTGATGAATCTGAGAGAGGATGACTCTAGAACCCTCTAAAGACACCCCAGTGTCAGGACACAATTGACTTATTCAAGAAAGAGGAACAGCGTTTATTCAGGATAATGAAGAGACTTGGGCAAAACATACTGTGCACCAAAAGTAATATATGATTGTACCAGATTAGTTGATAAATAAAACTGGAAATTGCAAAATAGATGAATCTAAGAAAGATTTTTTTCACTGTTGGAATTACTAAATTGGAGAAGATGTATAATTACACTTTTGTAAGAGAAACCAAAACAAAACACTGTAGTTAATCCAAGACATCTGTGTGTGGTTTTTGTTTGTATGCTTGGGTCTTTTAATCATTTTGGTTCAGTACCAAACAGAACAATCTATTATTCACACAGCACTACTTGGGAGAAAAGCAGCAAAACACACGCAGCTTGGTGAAAAGAAAATACAGTCTCTGGGACCCAGAAGACACACAGTGCTGGGTAAGAAGAGAAAGCTCTCCAGGATGGTGAAGGAGGCAATGGCAGGCTGTGGGAATAATGAATGGAAGATTTTGAGCTAACATGAAAAATTCCCTGAACAAAGACTTCTTGGAGACATGAGTCTACTCCCCGGTGATGCTAAGGGAACCTCATTAAGCACTTGAGCTCCTTAGGGCTTAGGTATGGCTTGGATGTGCCCCACACGGATCAGGGGATGGTTCACAAATAAAAATATTTTCCCCCTCCTCCCACTGGAATGTGTTTACTAGACGAATTCGAGTTGTTATGAATGCACTCTCAGCTCTGCTGCCGTACCGAGGTGAGCTCCATAACCAGAGCATGCCCTGCACCCCTGTACAAGACATCCTCCTCCTGTTAGCAGGACAGCACAGGACATCGAGGGCTGCCAACAGGGCTCATATTCCCTCCCTCTTTATTTCCACAATAAGAAATATTTATCCTTCTTTTTGTTCAGGCTGCAATTTGAGGAGATTCAGCTCTATGTAATTAAGGAATGCTCCTCCTTGGAAGGGGTATTACCACGAGATAATTAACCATGTTGGGAGTCTGGTGTTTCAAGAAAGCAATCGTGCTTAACAAATGACAAAGCAAAGTGCCTGTCGGGAATGTTTGCTACAGAGGAAATCATCAGCATTATGAGCACAGTTTTGCTTTCTATTAAACCCTCATTTACATTTCACTGCATGTTAATTTAGTTTTTAATTTTTAAGTGATTTCAGAGAGGCAAATTTCACCAGCTCTATCTGAACTGCTCAGGGGTGTGCCTAAACCCACCCAAACTTGGAAAGTTGTCCCACCAGCCAAAAGATGATGACGAGTCCCTGAACCAGCACTGGCAGGCAACAAACAATAAAACCCCACCAAAAACAAAACGGAGGGGACTAGCTGTCCAAGATAATGATGTCTAATGAGGACCTGAAGCGTGAGACTCCCATCAGCACACTCTGCTCCACACTGGAGACCACAACTCAATGACCACGATGTGCAGAAACACAACCCAACCAAACACACAGCCCACTATCTCCCTCAATCGCAAGAAATTCATGAAGGCTGAAGCCCAGTAAGACGTTGCCTGTGTTTAATTTAAAGATATCTACAGTTTTCGGGAAGTTCTAGGTATTTGCTTTCAAAGGCAGCAAGTACCATGAGTTAAAGTCACCAACAGACCCCGGTTTGGTAAAGATGCCTTCACCTGTGAAGGGCTTACCAAGTGAAAATTGTTCTGTTTCTTATGGAGACACATGCTGCTGCTTTTGAGTGACTGAAAACTAAAAAGTAATTTGACACTGGAGGGAACAGTTCTCCTGTTTTCCAGATATGACATCCTAGTTTCTACCCCAGCAGTGGCAAACTCAAGGAAGGAGCCCAGTGGGCTTCTGCCCAACACTGCTCATTTCACTGCAAAACAGGGACTTTCTTGCTGGCACAGTCCTCCTAGACCACGTTTGTTTGCATAAAATGGCCATCCCATTCCCTTACATGAAAGTAAGATTACAAAAGCATGCTGAAGTCCAGATAAGCATCCAAACCTCCTGGCAATTCCCTGAACTGAGCCCCCAGGAATCTGAAATTTAGTGTACCCATACCTTTGCCATCAGAGACATTTGCTGTTGCCACCAAGTTGTCTAGCAGAAGGTGGAGACCAGGGAATGATGCTTTCACAGCCTCCAGAAGTTTGACCAAACTTTCCGCTTTCAAGGTTTTCTCTTCATCCACCTTCCTGAGCAGACTGTCCACGGCTTCCCTCTGAGAGCTGCCTTCACAGCAATCCAAAACTACCTGCAACAAAGAAACAGCCAAGAACCTGTTTGTGAGAGCTCCCTATAAACTCTTGGATCTGAACACAGATCAGAGAGACAGGAGTAGTATCACAGTACACAGTACTGCAGAGAATCCACAGCCACTGCTTCTACTGATTTGATTAACTGGGAGGTGTCACCGGGTGCTAGTGACAGGAACATCTAAACACGTCCCAGGTATATCTGACATATGTCACCTTGACAACTACACTGGTGGGTTCTTCCACCAAGTCTAGTTCTTGAAAGTAGCTGACAAGCAAAAAACATTTTTTCAAATGGAATAAAAAAAGACAGGATTCCAAACAATATTTCATTTAATATTTTTAGCAAATACTTTTAAAAGTTGCAGTCTCTTTTTCCTTGTCTCCCCAATTTTTCTGGTTGTTGTCAAAAGACAGGTATGGAGAGAAAAAATAATAAGCATCCTATTAATTGAATGATTATTTCTACAATGAGGCCACACGAGACATCTCTTATGTGAGATGCAATCACTGTAGCTTGGAAAAGCTCTAGTATACCACTGTAATACCTACAAGGCTCCTGTAAGGGCAATCCAGTTGACAAATACAGGTTGACCTCCTCTCTGCAAACGCTGTGCTCCTCAGCATTTGAAATGTAGGGCTGGCAGAAACTCTGTAGGTCACCAGCCCAGTTCCCTGCTGCCGCAAGCACTACACTACACAGTCCCATTAATAAAATTATTAAGATCTGTCCTAAAACTAGTTACATTTTCGCTCCCTTTCCCCTGGTTGGAAAGCTCTTCCACAGATTCATTCCCCTGCTGATTCTTCTAATTTTCAGATTAATTTTATTCATGGCCAGTGTATACCCACTTGTTCATGTGCCAACATTATCTTTTAGCTTAAAAAGCCTTCTGAACAATTTGAGGTGTCTACCCTACCCTCCTCTACAATTTATTTATAAGAGCACGATCATATTCCCTCTCAATCTTTATTTCACTTGCCTAAATGAGGCAACTCCTCCCGTAAAACAGCTTCTCCGCTCCCCTGATCCTACGACTGCAGATCTGTCTCTGCTTCAATACGAATTCACCTTTGTTGAACAAGACTGGAACTGCACACAGAAATTTCAGATGGCCTTAGTTCTTAGTTCTTGTTACTGCATCCAACTGCACGCCCTTCACTTTATACTAGCATGTCATTACATTCTCACTGCTTAGTTCTCCAGCCATGTAATTCTTCTCCCTCTTGCAGATCCTCCTCTGTGTGGACAAAAGATCCCGGTTTTGCTCATCAGCAAGTTTTGCTAAGCATGCTTTGGTATTTTTGTGTCAAGAACATTAGTGTTAATATTAAGTGTCAAGAATTCCACTTTCTCCAACCTGTCAGTCCTACCTTCAGCACAATCTAGTTATGTCCAAATAAGATGCATCCTTTTTTAATATCACAGCTTCTTCTAGTTTAACAATTTCCTCACAGGAAATTCAAATGCTTTGCTCAAGTCTAGATTGAGGCAGAAAAACCCATCTTTATCTCATCAAATAAAGATTCCAGGTCAGGCAGAAACAATTTACTTGAACACCCTTTGCTGCATTTTATCCCGTTTTTTTTGCTTACACACAGCGCTTCAGCTACACACACCCTCCAGCCTGTCCCAACACATATTCCTCTGCACCCAGAGCTGCCTGCCTGGATCACTGCTTCCCTCTCCCACATGTCTGTCCTGGTCACCAATTGCGGGGACCACTCTCAACTTGGAAAATACAGTAATAAACTTTGCTGTCACTCTCACAGCCACGTGTGTCAGCTCCTCCACTCTGCTGGGAGATGCCCTTTGAGTTGTAGTTTCACTTCAGCTGCATAAGATTTCTGTTTCTGTGTCTCTCCTGGATTTGTCCCCAGGCTCCGTCATGAGTTTGAAGGTCATCTCTTCTCATTATTCTTCTTCTTTACTTGATCAGACGAACATTTGTTGCTTGTCTCAATACAGGCTGTGATGCCCCGCAGGTGATGTACCGCAAGACCATCTCCATACCTCTGCAGCACATTTCTTTGCCTGTTGGACATTTCAGCCATTCCTTGCAGGTCCTAATACCCTTCCTCAAGTTATGCATTCACTTAGGTCTCTAACCTCTCATATAAATTCTCCTCTTTTGTTGAGGATGCAAACTTCAGAGTTCTCCTACCTCTAACATAAAAGAAACTAATCCAACAGCTCCTCCTGTGCTCTTACAACCAGCTGATCTCACTAATTAGTTTCTCTTATTTCTAAAAATCTGTCCTTTTATAGCCGAAACTCTGTTAGTGAACCTGTTGACACATCCTCCCACCTAATTCACACCGAGTTGACTTTGGATCGCTCAGTCTGAAGTGATCTGACAAGAGAACCCAAAATGGGGTACAAGAGCAGCACCGTTTGGGGGAGCTCATGCTGTAACCTACCACTGCTCCCAGGAAAGCGTCCACAGGTGCAGAAGTTTTGGCCCCATTTTGACAACACGCAGGTGACACAGCTGGAAAACATCCCTGCTTGCAGCAGGACACAACAACTCCCTGTGATGCCCCCGGCTCGGGGGAGAGGGGCTGGAA